TATAAGCCCCTCAAAAACTTTTATTCAACCTTATGATATAGCCAAAATTAGAGAGAAAACACAACTCCTTCCCTCACGCTTCTTTTGGAATCTATGTGGTGTAGCCTTAATGTTTTATTTGAGAAGATTTTTCTTCCTTGAACTCATTCCCACTTTGCTGAACTCTAGTTGGCCACTAGAACATATCTGTGAAGTTGCATATCAGTGTGCTGGCTGTTCTGCATACTTGATCTGAACTCTTCGCCAACTTACCACAGGATGAAAGTCTTAATGCTCCAACTTCATGACCTCTGGACTCACCTACTTTCTCATTCATTACACATGAAATATTTTCTCTAGTCTGGTCTCTTTCATGTCTCCCAAATTTATCTTGTACTTTCTTGCCTATGCTTTTTCTCCTAGCACATTCTTTCTCCTACAACTTCCTATGAACCTACCTAAATCCTTTCCTAACTATCTTTTCACAATCTCACCTACATGAGTAAGATACCACAAGTCTGGAAATACCTGGTTTTAGGTATTACTTGTATTTATATTTGTGTTTGGAATCAAATATAAAACGCAACTTCTTCTCTTGATCCTAATGTCATGTCAGTTTTCTTTTAACATCTCCTGGTCTGCGTCCTCCTTGCCACTTCTATAGGCTTATGCTCTTTTCTGGGCCTTCATCTACATTCACTCAGATAACCACATTAAATGTTCTCCCTCTCCCAAAAAGGCAGTTTTGAGAAGGTTAAAGAATTCTGTATTAAATATATATAGGTCCTTGTTCTACTTCTAGAAACCTCAACTCCATTGGAGCTTAATTTTCTGTTATGTAAAGTAAAGATTTATTGTATTAAACAATTTCTAAGGTGATTCCCAGTCTTGAAATTATAAAATTCCATAAGTACCTAGCAATTAGACATATTTGATTTAGAATCATGTACTTATTGAACTATTTAACATATCCCTTATAGGAGTTGAAAAAATATTTAAAGTATGTAATTGCTTACCTGTTTAATAAACATAATTACATTTTTACATATTTTTTTTAATTTAGGTAAAAAATGTGAATGTTACTTAAATTTGTAATAAGTTTTATCTTAGGGGAAACTCTACAAATATTGTAAAACCATTAACTGATAACATAGATTTCAAAATTAATTTGTAGTTGCCATTCTAATGAAAGCACATGCATCCATTAACATTTTAAAATAAGTAATGAAATCATATGACCAGAGAAGTTCTATTGTTATAGTTTTAACCTGTAAGACAAACTTGAAGCAGAATTAAGGTATAGCATGTAAGGTTTGAGCAAAGATTCCTACACAAAGAAATAAATACAAAATCTGATTCAGCAGAAAGAGCAAAAGAGTCAGACAGGAGGACAGATCACAGTACTGGCTATGCCACAAATTGGGCAAGTTACTTAATCTCCAATAAATGTTGATAAATAGATAAACAAATGAATCTCTCTGGTCCTTAGTTTCATCATTTATTTAAAAATTAGATTGGACTTACTGCCCTCTACAGTTTTTTAAAGCTAAATGTTTTATGACCTAACATTTTATCTGGTGAAGTATAAACTATTCCAAGCATAACCATGTAGTTACGTATTGGGACACTATAAAACAGCTTTCAGTAATTGGTGAATGTTCCACTAATCCATACGTGCTTTCAGAGATAGTTTCAAACTGTTAATCCTACCATTGATTTTGATGGCAATTACATGTCTGCTCTTGACAATACAAGACTTTGCAAGGCATTCATCTTTATGATTGGACACTATGATATGAACAACTATTAATGCACACTGTGTGCATTTTTACTGCTACAAAGTATTCCATGTGTAAATGTACCACTAGTATTCTCTTTTAGATAACTGCTGATCCGTTTATCAGGGTACATTGACCTTTCCAGAAACATATAACTTATTGATGCTGACAATCCTATCTTTTGGAGGCTTGCACTTGTTCCTTAAGCTTAAATGTCTCGTTTGTCTCTCTGTATATTTATTTACTTTAAATATTTAAAGTATTTCATGTTTCTACTTTTCCCCCCCATTGGACTCCCAACCCCAATACTGCTTACCCCCCCATCAGGCCTTTACCACCCTTGTGTCTGTGTCCATGGGTTATGCATATATGCATACAAAATCTTTGGTAGATTACCTCCCACCCTCCCTGCTTTCCCTCCAAGATTCTTCACTCTGTTCCATCTTCCATGTCTATGAATCTATTTTGATCATCAGTTTATTTTGTTCATTAGTTTCCACATATGAGTAAGATCATGTGATACTTGTTTTTCTCTGACTTATTTCACTTTTATGATACTCTCCAGGTCCCTCCATGCTGTCACAAAGGGTAAGAGATTCTTCATTTTTACTGCTACAAAGTATTCCATGGTGTAAATGTACCACAACTTTTTTATCCATTCATCTGCTAATGGGCTCTTGGGCTGTTTCCAATTTACTATTGTAAATTGTGCTACTGTGAGCACAGGGGTGCATATATTTTTTCTGATTAATGTTTCAGGTTTCTTAGAACTTATTTCTAGAAGTGTGATCCCTGGGTCAAATGGAAGTTCCATTTAAAATTTTTTGAGATAACTCCATACTGTTTTCCATAATGACTGCACTAGTCTGCATTCCCACCAACACATTCTCCACATCCTCACCAGCACTTTTCATTTGTGGATTTGTTGATGGTAGCCATTCTGACAGGTGTGAGGTGATACCTCATTGTCATTTTAATTTTCATCTGTCTGACAATCAATGACTTTGAGCATTTTTTCATGTCTCTTGGCCATCTGTATGTCCACTCTGGAGAAGTGTCTTTTTGGATCCTTTGGCCATTTTTAAATTAGATTGTTTGTCTTCTTTTGATTAAGTTATATGAGGTTCTTATATATATTTTAGATATAGACCCTTTATCAGATGTATCATTGCCAAATATGTTCTTCCATACACTGGGCTCCCTTATTGTTTTATTGTTTTCTTTTGCTATCCAGATCTTTATTTTGAGGTAGTTTTATTTTAACTTACTTATTTTTCTCCTTAGTTTCCTTTACCTTAAGAGGTATATCTGTAAACGTACTGCCACAGAGATGTCTGAGATTTTGCTGCCTATGCTTTTTTCTAAGACTTTTATGGTTTCAGGATTTACATTTAAGTCTTTTATCCATTTTGAGTTTACTCTTGTGTGTGGTGTAAGTTGGTGGTCTAGTTTCATTTTATTTTTTTGCATGTATCTGTCCAATTTTTCCAACACCATTTATTGAAGAGACTGTCTTCACTCCATTGTATGCTTTTTCCTCCTTTGTCAAATATTAATAGAGCATAATGGCTTGGGTTCTCTATTCTGTCCCATTGTTCTAGAGCAGTGGTCGGCAAACTCATTAGTAATAGAGCCAAATATCAACAGTACAATGATTGAAATTTCTTTTGAGAGCCATGTTTTTTAAACTTACACCTCTTTTATCACCATTTCTTCAAAACAGACTCGCCCAGGCTGTGGTATTTTGTGGAAGAGCCACACTTAAGGGGCCAAAGAGCCGCAGTTTGCCAAAGAAACTACAAGGAGGCTCTAATTAAAATGTAAGCTCCATAACAAAAAGTATTTTTACCTTTTTTGCTGAATATAAGAATGGATAAAGTAAAATGTTCAATATAATTTTCCTAATTTCACTGGTTTTTAACATGCATTTTTTCATATTTGTACAGCTCTAAAATCAAAACATTATATATTAAATGATATCTTAGAATCAATGCCAAGCTGGTAATGGTCGTGATATAGTTGTATTTAATGGACATTCAAAGACAGCATGGACACTTGCAAAAGGGAATATTAGTGACTCAAAATAAATCTTGAGTACTTTTTTAACTCTTGGGAACCAAAGATGTGGGATGGCCAGAGAGTAATTAATCCAACTTAAAACAATCCTAAATCAGGAGTCAAAAATTGGCTAAACAGGACCATAAAGCCAGCTTAAGCTTTTTAAACCCAAGTAGCAATGACTTATTATTTTATTATTTTAGGAAATGCTACATCATCAACACTTTTCATGTGCCTGAAGACAAAATGGCATAGAAAAAAGACATTGATAACTGGGTAGAAAAGCAAATCTAGACTCAGATTCTGAATGTGAAGATGTTTTAGATATGCCTTAGCCAATTAAGTTTGCTTATAATTTTCATGTTTTGTGTATATACCAGAGTGAATGTTCATAAAAATTTATTCAACCTAAAAGCTTGTTTTCAATAAATATGAAATAAAAATTCTGGATGAAATATAGTCTCATGTGATTCTTCTGTTACTCTGTGGATCTCCTTTCTAAAGGTGGATATGAATACTCAACCTTTGTTGTTAACACCTCAGGAATAAATTTAAGATACTTTGAACACTTTACCCCTAGGGGGAGCTCAAAGCACATCTTCCTTTATTCCACCCCAGGGAAGTGCTGATGAGATAATGCAAAGGGCACATTAGTGAGCCACAGTGCTAGATTACTTCTTCCTAACTAAATGGTAAAAAGATCAAATGTTCTTGCCAACTACAGGAAAGTTCTTGTGTATTTTTTTAGTCTCTTCTCCCATAGAGAATGCAAAAAACATCTGCCTCCTATCTTGGGGAGACTATTGAGAAAATAAATGAAAAAATCAGGATATAGACAAGGGGAAATGTGGCATGGGACAGACAGCCTGAGTCCAGCTAAGGGTAGCTCTTCATGGAGCTTTGAAACCAAAGCCTGCAGCAATAAAAAAATGAATATGTGTCTAGGATGTGCTTAAGAATCTACAGGGTGGTGGCAATAGGCTCTGGTATAGCAAATGTAGGATTGGAATCCTATCTACAGACTACTTACCTACAAATACAGCTAGTTTAACAGGCTTTTAGAGATTGCCACCTTAGTAAATTTAAAAACTTAACAAGTGATAAGTAACCAATATACTACTTTTAGGTCGAGAATAAAGGCCTGTTTTATATATTGACAAATTAGGAAATAGGAAATTGTTTTACCTGGAATGATCCAAGAATATCCTTTAAAGGCTCTTCATAAAACTCATCTCTTCCAAAGAAAAGCAGCAACTCAAAGAAACTCCTAGGAAGAATAAATGAATGTTAACTATCATTGCTTCTTTGACTTTTGCCCCAATTTAAAAATGTCTCAAAAGATAATAGCTATGTAATCAGATATCTAGTTTTAAATAGTTGGTTTTAAAAAATAATATAGGTCATTTATGTTTGCAGTAAAACTTTATTATAAGTATCTTCAAGGAAAATACAAAGAAATACACTGAAATTCTAGAACTATAAAATGAACTCATGCCTACTAGTGTTCACACTGCAAAAAATGCAACCGGATACCAGGTGGTAAAATGTAACTATACATGTGAAGATTATCTAAAATGGGCACATATTCCTAGTACAATGGGCAGCAGAAAAAATTCAGAAGTTAATTTTTTTCAGAAGGATATAAGGGATGGATAGAAATAAAACATGAATTTTTCAACCAGCATTTATATTATAGCAGTATCACCAATTATGTATCAAATTAATGACACATGGACCCTCAAACTCCAGGCTTCTGTTATCATTATCCTACCCATGAAAGATTGTCCAAAATCATTTCAAATAAATTATTTAGAAAATAGTTATTAAATAGTTTACCTGCCTTTATTGATTCATTAGCTCATACCAAAGAAATATGACTTATTTCCGAATCATGAGCATGGAAAACCATAAAATTATAATATATTATTTAGCAATCCTAAATGACAAATCTCACAAACTTTTTTTTTAATATATATATATATTTTTTATTTCGGAGAGGAAGGGGGAGATAGAAACATCAATGATGAGAGAGAATCATTGATCAGCTACCTCCTGCACTGCGCCTACTGGGTATTGAGCCCACAATCCAGGCATATGCCCTGACGGGGAATCAAACTGTGACCTCTAGGTTCATAGGTCGACACTCAACCACTAACCCATGCCAGCTGGGCACTCCCACAAAGTTTTTAAATTTTGTCATGGCCTTCATTTTGAAGTCTATTTTGTCAGATATGAGTACTATTGCTACCCCAGCTTTTTTCTTTTCCATCCTTTTATTCTCATCCTGTGTATGTCTTTTGTTCTGAGGTGGGTCTCTTAACAGCTTATAATTGGATTATGTTTTTGTATGCATTCAGCTACCCTTGTCTTTTAATTAGAGCATGTAATCCATTTACATGTACAGTTATTATTGTAAGGTATTTATTTGCAATTTTAATTCTGTATGCCTGTTTCTCTATTCCTCTCATTACAGCAGTCCTTTAGCATCTATTGCAGTGCTGGTCTGGGGATGATAAACGCCTTTAGCCTTTTTTGTTGGGAAGTTCTTTATTTTAACATCTATTTTGAATGATAGCCTTGCTAGATATAATAATCTTGGTTTCAAGTTCTTGCTTTCCATTACCTTGAATACTTCATGCCATTCCCTTCTGGCTTGTAGAATTTCTAATAAGCTCCTTTGTAAGTAACAAATTGCTTTTCTCTTGCTGCCTTTAAGATTCTCTCTTTGTCTTTAATTTTTCGCATTTTAATTATGATGCATCTGGGCATGGGCCTGTTTGGTTTCTTTTTGCTTGGTACTCTCTGTGCCTCCTGAATGTGTGTGACTTTTTCCTTCACCCCGTTAGGAAAATTTTCTGTCATTATATCTTCAAACATGTTCTCCATTCCTTGCTCACTTTCTTCCCCTTATGGCACACCTATTATGTAAATATTTTTATGTTTCATATTGTTCCATAGTTCCCTTAAACTGTCCTCCTGTTTTTTAAATTGTTCCCACCCACCCCCCTACCCCCAATCTGGTTGAATGATTTTTTTGAATTTTTATTTTATCCTGTCATTATTTAATTCACTGATCTGATCCTTGGCTTCTCCTAATCTGCTCTGTATTTTTTCCACTGTGTTCTTGATTAGTGCTATGTCATTCTTCATAAGATACTATATCTTTTCTCACGCTGTTGAGCATCTTTGCTATCCTTATTCTGTACTCTATATCTGTTAAACGTCTCCATTTCATTAATCTCTTTTTCTGGAGAATTCTCTTGATCCTTCATTTCAAGTTTGTTTGTTTTTGTCTCCCCATCTTGGCTGCCTGTTTGTATTTGTGCCTGTGTATTAAGTAAATCTGCTATGAGTCCCCATCTCTCATGCAGGACAATGTCAGATGCTGTTTGTGACTAGAGCTATGAGCAATCCAAAGCTTGTAGCTCTCTCTGCTGTGGTTGGGTGCCTTTGAAAAGGACCAAAATGTGCACCAGGGACTGCTTTTCCCAGTCCCTGGCCCAGAAGGGGATCAAGCAGAAAACAAAATCTTTAAATTTTATGTCATGTAAAAGATAAAGTTGTATTTTTATAAACAGTTTCCCTTTTATCAAAATTAATCACTAATAAAGATCAAAATTTTTAAATACAAACATAACCATGAGATTGTCTCGTTTTAAAAATTATGAGACTTAAGCCTTACACAATACAATAACCATTGAAAAGATAGCATAGCAACTATTATACCCTATTAACAAATAATTTTATCAATTTGACTACTTGAAAATTTTAATGCCAACAGAACAAAAAGTGTAAAAGCAGTCAAAAGCAAAGTGATACACCAAGAAAGAATTTTTGCTGATTTCCTTAATTAAAAAGCAAATAATTTTTTAAAAGTCAACAACCAGTAGAAAACTAGGAGGGTAGAAGGACTAATTTCATGGAAAACAAATTCAGGTACATTTTTTCAAATATAAAAAGATGTTCTAATTTACTCATAATTAAATAAGTAAAATTTTATGAAGATGAAATACCATTTTCCTTCATATTTATTAAAATGTTGATATAGTCTATCATGGCTTTGTTATTTTAGTAGAGGGATAATAAATGATACTATCTCTTTTAAGGGCACACAGTAATAGTCATCAATATTTTAAATGCACATATACCACTTAATTTTGCAACTCTTCTTGTAGGAATTAATCCTCCAAGTATATATGCATAAGCTCAAAGATGTATATATAACAGTATACACCTACAGATGATTTGTAGTAGCAAAAGATTGAAAATATTTTAAATGTCTACCCCAGTGGACTGGGTAAATTAGTTACAATACATCTATACAACAAAATATAATGAAAATATTAATGAAATATATTAGTGAAAAGATACTTATATCTACATGAAGAGATAAGGAAAAAAATTCAAGATATACTGCTAAGCAAAGATGCAGAAATTCATTACATTATCATTTGTATAAAAAAAGGGAGGGAGCAAAGGGCACATGTTCATCCAGAGCATTATTGACAGACCAAAGGATATGCAACAAATTGATAAAAAAAAAAGTTTCCCCTACATAGGAGAAATTAGAAGAAATTAGAAGTCAGGGATGAAAAGGAGAATTATGTTTTAATAATAACCCTTTGTAATTATTTATTTTACTATCAGTTAAGTATGAAAAGAAAAAACCATTAATGTGCCTCTGGAATCTTCTACATCCCTTTTTAAAAAGCATTACATTCACATCTATCTCATCTTTAAACTTCTAATAGGCCTTCCTCATTCCAGGCTTGCTATTCCAACCTTACCTAAAACCTGTCTGCCACTGTTACCTTCCTAAAATAATTATCAGACTACTTTCAGACTTTACAAACTACTGTTCAGATTGTACATCTAAAGCAAAGACCTTTAGTTGACACACTTGTTTTGTTTGGATGAAATGTTATTCATCTCTCTAAACAAGTAAATGGTTGATTCTTCTGCACCAAAATTTACATATATCTCTATTATAACATGTTGAAACATAGAGATGTTAAATTTGCACTAATTATTATATTTTTAATTAAAGGGAGAGTTACAGAAAGTATTAGTAGAAATGTGCTGTGATAATAAAGTTAGAGATCAGTATGCAGACCAATATGACTTTGTAATGTCAAACAAAATATGCAGAATTATGTCTGCATATAATGAACATGAAAGGACAGCCAACATTTTTTTCCAAAAGAGAAGTCTGTGCATGCCCTACTGTCAACTCTCTCAATAACAAGGCCCAACTCCATGATAATTGTATTAAAAGAAAAAAGAACATATAAAATAAGTAAAGAATAAACAAATACAAAACAACATGGTCTAGCTAGCTCTGCTTTAGAGTAGGATTCAGGTAAGTCAGTAAGTATTTAAGCACCAATGAAATCCCTAAGGGGGAAAATATCTCAATTATATGTAGAAATAGAAACTTTATATTTCATATCTGTTGTTTTTCCTATGACTACTAATGTAAAGGATCCACTAAATGTTTAGATATCAAGTTGTCTAGCCATCATGGAAGAACATGCTACAAGGTGAGAGTAATTGAGTCCAAAATAGAACAAAATAGAATCTAAAAACATACATAAACAATCTAGAGCTAGGCTGGCAAACTACTGCCTACAGGCCAAATCTGGCCCAAGAAAGGCTTGTTTCTATATAATGCAAGAGGTAAGAACAGTTAGCCATATCTAAATTATTTTTAAAATCAGGAGAATATTTTGTGACAAGTAAAAATTACATGAAATTCAAATATCATTATCAATGAATAAGGTATTATTGGAACATAATCTCGCCCACCTATTTACATATTAACTATGGCTGATTTCATACCACAATGACAGAATTGAGTAGTGTAAAACAGAGACCTTATGGGCTAAGCCTGAAATAACTGTCCCTTTAGCTTATCTATATTCTAGAGCCACACTGGGTATGAACCTCAGCTCCACTACTCCTTTGATATGTAACTAGGCAAGTCACTGTGCCTTAGTTTCTTTCTTGTAAAGCATTTAGAACAATCACTGGCAGTGTTATAGGTGTTAGCTAATGATAATATAGTACTACTATTTTTATTATTAATACTGCCACCCAAGTTCCCCTCAGCAATCTAAGGAAACACAAGATCTTCATAGATTTATTATTCTCAGCTGTGCATGTCAATTTCATTAAAGTATAAGGTATTAAAGTTTTCTTCATTTAAATTATGAAAATTTTTAAGATATCTGACTAAATTCATCAAAAAATTTCTTTCCAAAAAATGTA